TTTTTTTTTTTTTTTGAGTTTCTGCTAGTGATTCCTTTTTTTAAATTTTATTTTAAATTTTTTAATTGAAGATATAACATTCACAGGGGATACAGTCATAGCAATAAATTACATACACAACCAGAATACAAAACAATAAATATATAAAGAATAATAAAAATGAAATATAAACAGAACAAAAACAAATAAATAAAAAGTTAAACATCTTTTCTTTTTTTTCTTTTTTAAAAATGTGGCTAACTTAATTAAATATTCTCAACTAAATATAATTTCGAGGTTAATGAAATCCGCAGTGCTTCATTAATTGTTAAAACCAGGTCAAAATTAATTGCAGATTGACAGACAAAGCTTACATCTCGCCCACATGAACTGAAAAATCTTGGCAAAGTCAGCCATTGGATGCCACAGAAAGGGCAATACATTTTGATCTGAAAAACAAAAACAAGTTGACTGAAGTTTGCACGTTGTATTTGTATTCCATTGTCCTTTCTTTGAGAATATAAAAGATGTTTAACTTTTTATTTATTTGTTTTTGTTCTGTTTATATTTAATTTTTATTATTCTTTATATATTTATTGTTTTGTATTCTGGTTGTGTATGTAATTTATTGCTATGACTGTATCCCCTGTGAATGTTATATCTTCAATAAAAAATAATAATAATAATAAAAAAGGAATCACTAGCAGAAACTCAAAAGAAGAAGAAAAAAAAAGCCACTGCACAAAACAAATCCCAGTCGGGTCCGTCACTTTTTTGGGTCCCCTTGAAACATTTCCGTTGTGGTCCGTGCTATTTGCGGCGCGTTTCTTCATTTGCATGTGTTGTGAGGATTTGCAGCGCGTTTCCTCATTTGCATGTGCTGTGAGGATTTGCAGCGCGTGTGTTGTCAAACTGATGAAGATGTTTTCTTAATTTGCTGGTGTTTTTTCAATTTGCATGTGTTTTCTTAAGTTGCAGCGCCTTGAGCTCTCTCGGCCACTGTAGAAAAGTGCTCTGAGTTGCTGCAGCAAAAAAAAAAGAGCAACAACAAAAACATGTTGCTGGAGACGGTCTTATTATTGAAAATGCATACTGGTTGTCTGCCAGCAGGAGGCGCTTTGATAGCGGTAGAACTAGTGGTTTCCCCAGTAACGGCTGTAATCAAAGCAGCTCCGCTCATGAACGCTACTTTATCAGATAAAATTAAAATGCCATCGAAACTTTTCTGAAGACAGTCCTTTCCCTTCAGAGATACATTCATATAAAACACCTGTGACGGTTTTTTTTTTAAACGTGCAGTGCTCATGTTTAGTCAACGTTTAGTCAAAATTTAGTCAAACGCCACAAATAAATCAATGTAAGGGAAACACTGGTAATGTATATCGAAATATCGGAAATGTGTTTAAAAATCATATCACCATTATTGAAAAAGATTATATTGCGATACATATTGATATTGAATTATTGTCCAGCCCTACTGGATACCCTTACTTGGTAAAAAAGGAAAATGTTAAATTCATGCCAAGTCGCATCAAAACTTATCTGGTTAACCACGTAAGCCTTGGTTGAAGAATAGGGCCTACTTTTGTTAATGTAAAAAGGAATACAGGTGCTGAGCACAATTGGTCTGTGGCTATTGTTTTTGTTGTTTTTTTTTTAAGTTCTTCCATCAATAGTGGAGGATCGAATAGTGTCATCTTTGTCATTGCCGCCTGTTGGTGACTCAATCATTATAAATCAACACAACAATGATGACACGTTACTGCCTATTGATTCTGAAAACCTGCCAAACCAACAACATGGTGTCGACAAGGAAACTGTGACAGGTGATCCAAACATCCAGAATGTGGGATCCAGCTTCAGCAGTGAGTCCTCAGAGTCCTCTAGAGACAGTGATGGAGAAAAAGAAACAAACTCTAATGTCGATGAGTTGCAACGGTAAGTTACCATATTACTAGGTGGTTGGGGTTATTTATTTGTTTATTCTTATTTATTTTGTAATGTATTTAGCATAAATGAATAGGCTAATCCAAAAATCATTTCTATCACCCTCATGTTTAAGTTTTGTTTATTAATTTTTTTCTGTGGAACACGAAGCAAGATATTTGAAGACTATATCTGCAGTTTTGTTTTGTTTTTTACATACAATGAAAGTCATCGGGGTCCCATTGGTGGATGGTCATTATCAAATGAAGTTATTTTGAGTGTTGATGCTTTTAAAGGGTTAGTTTACCCAAAAATGAAAATTCTGTCATTAATCACCCTCATGTCGTTCCAAACCCATAAGACCATCACTCATCTTCGGAACACAAATTAAGATATTTTTGAAGAAATCTGAGAGCTCTCTGACCCTGCATAGACAGCAACACAACTGAAATGTTAACAGACCCAGAAACGTACCAAGGACAACGATAAAACAGTCTATGTGCCATCAGTGGCTCAACTTCAATTTTGCAAAGCTACAAGAATACTTTTTGTGTGCAAAGAAAACAAGAATTGTTTTCCCCAGAATGTAATCAACGTAATCAGCGTTGTTTACGTTCAGCATGCACACGCATTCTCCTGAATGTAAACAATGCTGATTATGTTGATTACATTCTGGGGAAAGCGCACGCATGCGTCGTTGGTACTCTCCAAAATGGTGGAAGACATTAACTCGGGGAAAAGAATTGTTGAATAAATTCTTACTTTTGTTTTCTCTGGCACAAAAATATTCTTGTAGCTTTGCAAAATTTAAGTTGAGCCACTGATGTCACATGGACTGCTTTATCGTTGTCCTTGGTACATTTCTGGGTTTGGGAACATTTTAGTTGTGTTGCTGTCTATGCAGGGTCAGAGAGCTCTCAGATTTCATAAAAAATACCTTGATTTGTGTTCCTAAGATGAATGAAGGTCTTATGGGTTTGGAAGATATGAGGGTGTGTAATTAATGACAGAATTTTAATTTTTAGGTGAACTAACCCTTTAAAGGCAACTTCTGAGAAGTTTCTGAGATTGTATCTTGAGCAAGAATTTTTACAACATTCAACAATAAATTTCAAGGTGGTTACTGTCAGACTGTTGTCAAAATATCTGATGTGAGTAATATCCTCAATAATTAGTCTGTTTGTAATCTAAAATTCTCTTTTTTTTGTGAGGACTTTGAGCACTTCACTACAGAATTTGTTCTGTAGTGTTCCTAAATTAAAATAGAAATAGTTTTGTTGTAGATCCTGTGTATTCTTTTTGTAGGACTAACTCAGAAGAGCCAAGTGTGCCGTCATCCACCGATGATGCTCATAGAGGTACAGCCTCTGAATGTCTGTCGAGATTCTCATTATATCTTTTCAGGATCTTTAAAGCAAACCGTTTCTGTTTGTCATGTTTTCCTCTAGGTGATTTAATTTTTCAGACAGCTGTGCCTCTCCAAATGCCCTCTCTTGACACCTTCCCAAACACACCTTCCAAAGGCTTCCACTATGCAGGCAGGACTGTACATAAATGTCAGCAGTGTACAAAATACTTCATCTATCGCTCTGATCTTGTCAAGCACCAGGAAATTCACACCCAAGCGGGGACCCATGAGTGTCCTCAGTGTGGGCAGGTTTTTGACGATTCAGCGCAGCTGGTGTCACACAGGAGCACCAACTGCAATTCCAGAGTTTTTAAGTGCATCAAATGCACAGCCCACTTTAGATCCCTCAGGACCCTATACAGGCACAACCGAGTGCACAAAGAGAAGAAAACCACACATAAGTGCCCTGAATGTGGACGGCTGTTCACTAGTCTGTCCCGATTAGTCGGTCACCGGCGAACTCACCGAACTCCCACTGTTAAAAGGAACTACACCTGTAAACAATGCAACGAGACTTTCGGGTCGTACCGAGCCAGTGTAATCCACCAGAAGATTCACAAAGTTAAAGACGTCCGCCTTTCTAAACCGGAACAGCAGCCAGGAAAGTGTCGTTTTTGTGACTTGACATTCAACATTGACAGCGAATTAAGAAGCCATCTGAAGACCCATGCAGAGTTCAGGCCGTATATATGCGACCAGTGTGGGAAGTGCTTTTCGGCGAACAGCAGCCTGCTTGCCCATCTCTCAAACCACACGGGTGAGAAACCTCTCCTTTGTTCGCAATGTGGAAAGCGATTTTACAGCAAAATCCAATTAAAATCTCACATGAGATGTCATTCTGGTGAGCGGCCGCACGTCTGTCCTTACTGCGAGAAGCAGTTTTCACTGTCTGGGAATTTGAAGATCCACATCAGAATTCACACCGGGGAGAAGCCGTACGTTTGCCATCAGTGCGGAAAGGGTTTTGTCTCTGCCGGATGCCTGCAGGTGCATCTGCGCTCTCACACAGGAGAGAAGCCGTATCAATGTAAAATCTGTGGCAAGAAATTTGTTGTTTCGAGTCACCTGACGGCGCACATGTGCTTTCACACCGGAGAGCGTCCACACTGCTGCTTGCAGTGTGGGAAACGATTCATCCGACGTTATGACTTGAGCAAGCACATGTACACTCATATTGGGAAGAGGCCGTTCCCATGTCCTCTGTGCCCAAAGGCTTACACGTGTCGTACACACCTAAACAGGCACATGAAGAGCCACAGTGTTTGACTTGAATCATTTTGTCATCCTGAGTGCCTTGTGTGGAGTGAAATCAACCATGATCTTTAAAGCAATAGTTCCCCCAAAAAACTTTTTTTTTTAAAGAATTCTCTAAAAATTACATTATTTACTCACCCTCATGACCTGAGTCCATGTCTACACCCATATTCTGTTTTTTTTCCCTGTGGAACAGAATGACTTTTTAGAAGAATCTTTACGCAAGTGTTTTCCAATTGACAGTTCATTTTAAGCTCTAAAAATTACAAAAACTAAAAAAGACAGGATTGTATTAATAAAATAGTCCTTACAGCTTATGCACTAAATTCCAAGTCTTGTGAAGTCATTTTACTCATTTGTGCGAGTAACAAATTGAAATTATTGTTTTCATGCCCTTCTACTGAGCTATTAACTGTGACCGTATTGAGTCGGTTAGAAAGAAGGGGAGAATTACAACTGAATAACAACTTAAGTTTGCTCTGTTTCCCACACAAAGCTGTTATACAACTACAGAATACTTGCAGACATAGAGTAAATAACTACATCATTTTTGATTTGGGGTGAACTATCTCTTTTAATTAAAACATGTTTCAACTTTGTGTCCTGCCAAGCTGATGTCCTTGAACTTGTGAGAGCTGCAGTTGTTTCATTACAACAGTCATTTGAAGAACAGCTGCAACATTTTCTTGCATTACTGATGTGTAAAACAGTTTCGTGTTGTGGATATTTTCTCTAGAATATAGATTTGGAGCCCACTTTTTTTCTTTTAGATTTAGGTTTTTCTAAGATAATTTAAAGCTAGAATTATCCTCAGTTAGCAACTATTAATGAAATATGCTGAATATTAATATGAATATACTAAACAGAAACAATGTGTTGACATGACTTAAAGTGGGAATTAAAAATCATACAAAACAAAAGAGGTGCTGTGTAATTTTTAATTATCATTTGAACATCAAATGCACAATAAAAAAAAATACAAATAAAGGATTGACACCTTAGTTATGTGGTAAAATTCAAGAGAACGCCATTATTACATCAGGATCTAAAGCCCTTTATGTATAAGAATACATTACAATACACCTGTTGAATTGATGTTCATTGTTATAAAAATATATTCTCAAATTAATTAACTGTTTACTATTTAATTAACTACAACAAAATATAATTGTAAAAACTACGGCAGACACAGTAACTGGCTCTGGCCCCCTCCATAGACTTTTGCTGTTATTATTTTCTTTTTGTTTTGTTATGGTGTTTGCTATTGTTGAATGTTCGAGTATTGTTAATATTTTTAGTAAATGTTACCTTTATAATTATTGCTGTTACTGCATTTGTTATATTATAAAGCTGTAAGAGACCAATTTAAAATAGGTGGGGAAAAGGAGTTTGGCATCTTAACAAAATATTAAGAACAGCTGCTTTTATTTTGCGCTTAAATCAGTAATAAATGGACTTTTATTTTCAAACTTTCAACATCCGGGTGACGTCCGTGTTTACGCTTTAGCGCGTGTTTACGTTGCATCCAGCATCGGAAAATAATGGCGATATTTTCCAGTCAGAGATCAAATCACTGCAAATGATTTAAAGGGTGAGCATTGATGCTTCCTATGAGCGTATCTGTGGACGACTATAAATATGTATATTCATTTGCAGACGAGTATTAAAGTGCCACAGTAAGAACGCTGATTCATTTATCGATGGATAGATTTTACAGTGATTGGATGTTTAGTGTTTGTAGATGGTGCAGTAGAGTGTCCTGAAGACTTCAGATCCTTCACTTCCTCCCCCTCTTGATCCAGACCCATATAATGTGGCCCCCCTATACCTATCATCACCTGCTAGCCTTCCTCCTCACGTTCCTCAGGTATGCTGTCCTGTTCCTACCGCCCTCCGTTCTGACCGTGGTAATCAGTTTCTGGCTATGTTACTGAGCATATCTAGCTTTTCTTTATTATTGTGGCCCTGTGTTGGCCAAGAGTGTTTTTGTAGGTCCTTGGGTGTTTTATTGTACATAATAAGACTATTGAACTTTGTCTTGTTTGCCATCTTTGATCTTAGATGACATGTAGCACAAAGTTCTTTGTGTCATTTAAACAGCGGACTTCTTGAAATGTTATATGATTAATCTAGCTGTTATACAGGAACCTAGAAGGTTATAATCAGGGTGCGAATTACTGGGGGTTTGGTGGGGTCTGACCCTCTAAAGAAGGCTTGATCCCTCCTGATGGAGGTCAAAACTAGATGTAGGGGGGTCGGATAGAAAGTTCCCTATGCATAATATGGAGATTTACTTGTAAATATTAAGATACATTTCTATAGCCCTGACTGATTTCACAATGTAAAGCCCCTGAAATGGGTCATAGCTACACATTACCTGACCTGTTAAAGTAAATATGCTACAGTGCCCAATTATAGGCATGCATTTTTTGCTTGGACGGAGCGAGAACACATAAAATGCATGTTCAGATTCAGTCGACTGATCAAATTTACCCTCCTAAACTTAATGCTGTTGAACTGAATTTACGGAGCAAACTATTTGCTAAAATAACCATAACATTAACAGCAGCGCTGAAATACAAGTGCAGGGTTTTGTCAGTCAGATGCGCGTTAAAGTTGCATGTGTTACTATAACAAATACTGTGCATTTTCATTGTATCATCATTGGCTGGTAGAAAGAAAAAAAAATAGATTTTTACTTAAAAAGAATATAAGGTAAAGGTGCGAATAATTAAATTTGAGACACATTGTCAGTAATTTCGCCAACGAAAATAAAGCCCTAGGAAAATCGTGTGTCTTTGATCAACCCAGAGTGGTGTTTCATTAATGAATCCACATTTTTAAATTAATCGAGTTGAGTCAACGATTCAGTGAGCCATTCATAAAGGCAGTCATTTGCTTCTTTCTGAATGAATTAGTCCTTTTGTACGAATCGATTGAATGAATGACTCCCTTATTTGATTTGCTGCCACCTACTGGCGCTTTTAGTTTTATATTTAGAGTATTGTTTCTTTTTTAAAAAAACAATTGATATTTCTGTATGTTGAATTATTTCTTTGTAAACCTACTTTAAAAAAAATATTTATTCAGTATTTATTCGTTAACACGATGATAACTTTAAAATATCTTTAATAATAACTTTATACATTTAATTAATCAGCACATGATGTGCATGTTAATTAATTAATTTCATTAATTTGAGATTCATTTGATGAAGTAATTGGCACATTATGTAATGAATTAGATAAAAAAAAAAATAATAATATTTACACAATACCCCCCCCAATATCTGTCTCTGAGCTTTGCAGGTGGTTCGTTTGACCTCATGATCTGATTTTTGCTTTTTGCAATTAAAGTGTAGAAACATTGCAAAAACTGCCACAAGATTTGGTTTGAATAGTTATCCAGTGTAATTATATTAGTTTTTTTATTTTCAGTAAATTTGCAAAGGTATCACACATTTTGACTTTGTCATAATGGGGTGTGGTGTGTAAATAACTTGTGGGAAAAAAATGTGGAGAAAAAAACAATTTAAAGCATTTTAGCAAAAAAGTGAAGGGGTGTAAACACTTTCGCAAGGCAGCATATAAGAGTATTCCTGATAAAGAAATAGAAAAATGTTTTAAAAAGAAAAGAAAATGTAGTTTAAAATATATGTGCCATGTTCTTAGAAATGTTTGCTTTGTATTCCTGTTCGTGCCATATGGTTTTGAAGTTTAAATGGAATGACTTGTGTAATTAATAACATCCACTCTCTATCCAGCTATGTCCTGCTTCACTCGTCACGTAAGACTTTCAGTAATGTGAAAGTGAGCATCTCAGCACAGTGGACACCATCAGCATTCCAGCAGAACGGCAGCACTTCGTCTTTGTCTCCTGGGGAGGTAAGGATATAATACACACTGCCCATTTTTTGTCTAACTTTTTCATAAAAAAAAAAAAATTATTTCCATCTAAATGAGTAACATTTTCCCTAGCCTCATAGATATGAGAGTAGGAATGATATTATTATTATTTTACATAAGAATAATTTTTTACAGATATGAAAGTCTGATCTCCGATAAAACCCAGAAGAGAACTAGACTGCCTCTTTTATTGTAATGAAAATGTACTCTGTGTCTATATAAAGTCTTTCAAATTTTCTTTTTTGGTTTACATTTTTGGAATATGGGACCCAATATATATTAAGTGTCCTTAACTACTATGATCTTACATTTAATTTATTAATTTGATACAATGCATTTATTATGTACATACATGTTTTTACATTGTACTTATATTTGAAAAAACTGTCATCTGTAATTACCCCTTAAACCTAACCATACCACAAAACCTGCCCCTACATTTATTTATGATCTTTATGATCTTAACATTATTGTCTTATTAAAAACCGAGCAATACATGTATTATTCTTATTTTGTCACTGCATGCTATGGAGAAAATGTGTTCAGCTAGGTAGAGGTGAGAAAAACATTGATTCAAAGTATTGTAATATTTTATCCTCAAAATGCTGTACTGATACTCATCTTATGAATAATACCTAATACCTAAATAAAAAAAAAGATATGTCTTTCTCTTTATTTATTCCTTCCCTCTCTAGCTTGTACTTATTTGAACAATGCCTAAAACTTGGTATTACAAGCACTTCCTGTGTCTGTTTGCCTCTTTAAGAAGAATCGCTTTATGTATTCCCCAATTTTAAGTCACTTTGGATAAAAGCGTCTGCAAAATGACTAAATGTAAATGTACCTCACAAAACTATCAATATTATATTTCACATTAGTATTTTCATTCAGATTAATATTTTTGTGGTCACCATTTAGAAATCTGTGAGAGGGCAACTCATTAAGTCAAGCATTACATCAGTATTCAAGCACTATATTCTTTCTGTTTGGTAAAAATGCGAACTTACATTCTCACAACTAGCAATATAGTTGTACAAAGCACTTAGGCTAAGTCCAATATAGGCCTTTCAGTTGAAAATATAATCTAAATAATGTTGCTACACACTTATTTTTGTTTATATCTTTAGACATGGGTGGAAAACAAACTGTTTGCTGATGCGGGAGAGGCCACGCTGTTCCTGGGTGCTCTGGACTCCATCTTTCTTTTCTCTTATGCTGTGGTAAGCTAAAAACAGGAATAGGTGTAGCAGGCTTTGGGGGTTGTGGGTGAACAGTGATGGTATATTATGAACATAATGCTGCTGCTTCACCATATTGAACCATAAAATATTACTGTGACAGTAGGGGTGTGCAATATTGACAAAAATATTAGATTTTTTTTGTCCGCATACATCATTAAGAATATGTCCTTTTTAAGGGGTTATCGGATGCTAAATTCACTTTTACATGTTGTTTGAACTGAAATGTGTCTTGGCAGTGTGTGTACACAACCACCCTATAATGATAAAAAATACACCCAGTGTATTAAAAAAAAATCCCCATAAATAATAACTCCTATCTCAGATCAAGCCATTCACAGATTCATGGCAGAGTGACGTAGTTCTGCACAGGCCCCTCCCACGGTTGTTGAGTGACACTGGTGTTTTACCTTAGACCTGCCCTGAGTGACCATTGTTCACGCCATTGTTCCTGCCATTGTTTTGACGCCGGAGCAGAAGTAGACAAGAATTTCTTCTGAGTGATTGAGGTGTTTTGTTGTTGGATGTGATAATGAACATAGCAGTCGTCATTTACTCCCGACATCTGAGCCGCTAATGACGCAGTGGATTACTTTTGTTTGTGAAGGGAATGCGCCCCCGATATACCTAAATGTGTCTGTTCACGCGAATCATTCGTGATCCAGCTTAGTGAGTATAAGGTTTTTTTATGAATCTTTGCAAATCTCCTTTACTAATAATGTGCTAGTTAGCAAGTTCTGCGACGAAT